CTTAGTAGATATATCCTGTGTTAAAATCCTTGGCATATGATCTGGCGCCAGTTATTGATCCCATCTTCGTCTTCTTCACCCCAGTTCCATCCACCTGTGCAATAACTCCATCCAGAAACATTATGAGAATTCCCTAAACCGCCATTCTGAGCTTCCCCCAGACAACATGTGGTCGTCTGATCAATTCCAGATCCACCTGAGGAAAATGGGAGCACCAGAGGCCTGGTCTAAGGTGATTGTGCCTGGCATGAAGGCGGCCATCATTCACGCCATACAGACCTCTCAGGACCTCGTGGAGTTCCGCAAAAACAGCTTTGAGCTTTATGGGGCAGACTTTCTCTTTGGAGAAAACTATCAGCCGTGGCTGATTGAGATCAATGCCAGCCCCACCATGGCAGCCTCTACATCTGTCACCACCCGACTGTGTGCCAGTGTGCAGGAGGATACCTTGCGTGTGGTCATTGACCGCAAATACGATCGCAACTGCAACACGGGAAACTTTGAGCTCATTTATAAACAGGTGAGTGTCCCCATCCTCGTTAAATTCCTTGGAGTGCTTACCTCACTTTTTCCAGGTTGATTCTCTTTATATCGGGTTTACCTAATTGGGGTTTCTGCCTTTGCAACTCAGGGTACAGATAATCCTTGACCGACAAGCACAACTGAGCCCCAACTTTTCGTTGCTAAGCAAGACAGTTGTTAAGTGAATTTTGCCCTGTTTTACAACCTTTCTTACCAGGGTTGTTAACTGAATCATGGCAGTTGTTAAGTTAATAATACGGTCGTTAAATGAATTTGGCTTATCCCTTGACTTTTGGTTGCAAAAGCTGATCGCATGACCCTGGGACACTGCAACCGTCATAAATACATGCCAGTTGCCAAGCATCCAAATTCTGAACACGTGACCATAGGGATACTGCAACGGTCGTAAGGGTGGAAGCTGTCCTAAATCGTTTTTTTTTTCAGTGCCATTGTAACTTCAAACAGTTACTAAACAAATGGTTTAAGTTGAATATGTAGTTCACTGTGTCTTAGGTGTCTTCTTCCATGTCCCACCAATCACTATCAAAGTAGTAGGATGGTGGCTTCCGATTGGTGGAAACTTCTGCCTCATCCTGTTCCTGAGATCAAGATGGCACGATGACGTATTTTTTCCTGTGGCACTGGGGGTGGCTTTTCTGTTCCCCCTGCACAGTTGTTCCTCCTCACTGCAATAGAAGTCATAACAATTAAAAACAACAACTGAAGACAGGAAGTAGAGCACTGGTGCACCTTTATGGCACAGGTCCCAGTTTTCTGAGGAGGCATCTTGCCCCAATGGGATTGGCCCACCCTGCTTACTCCAGCGGAAGAGGCTTTCTTTGGATCCTGTTTGCCAAAGGAGGAGTTTGACTCTGTGGCTCCCGAGGATGTGGACAGGATCCTGGGGAGGCTGAATGCAACCACATGTTTATTGGATCCGTGCCCCTCCTGGCTGGTACTGGCGGCTCGGGAGGGTACACGAGCCTGGCTCCAGGGAATTATAAACGCTTCTTTACGGGAGGGTGTCTTCCCCGCGACCTTAAAGGAGGCGGTGGTGAGGCCCCTCCTGAAGAAGCCTTCCCTGGATCCAGATGTATTGGCTAACTATCGCCCGGTCT